GCAATTTCCTGGTGTTTTCTTCAAACCGAATTCTTTGCTTAGCAGCAATTGAGTCTAAGATGGATTCGCGATGCTTTAGTCCAAGTGATAGCATTGTAATTATATCCATGGCGACGATACGAATATTTTGCTCGGTTGCCTTGGCGGAATTTTGCTGTGATAATGAATCAGTGGAAAGTGTGCTTCCTTTGGAGCTACTGGAGGAGCTGCTAGTACCATTGAGTTGTTGAGTGAGCACACAACCTAATACACTGAGTAGGCTTGTAGCGACGGGCCATTCAACCGGGGCAAAGGTCGAAACAGAAAGGAGATCATTTAAAATAGTCTCAAGAAGAGGGCGAGAGTCTTCCTCTTTTTTGGTTGCAACCCTAAATAAAATGTAAAGTGATCAAAAAATAAAATGCAAAAAAGAATGCCGTATAAACGAAAAAATAATATGATGCAAATTATATTCTACAGAAGTTGTTTCAGCTTGTTTTCGCAACTTAGTCATACTGGTAGGAATACTTATGGGAATGCACCTAGTCCTGAGTCCATTGTATGCATGATAATATCCAATCAGACAGTGTACGTGATACATTCCCAGACGTTCGTCAGTGAGTCTTTGTAGTCTTAGCACCAAACTAAAAATCGTCAAAGCGACAAGTGAAGCCGATCCTTTGACCAATTGTCTGCTAAACAATCGTAGTAGCTCTCCTAGCCCCCTGGACTAATCACCAATCCTATATCCTTCGCTATCAAAAGTTTTAACTTGCTTATTTAAATGTGGTATGGTGCCCTTTTGAGTGGATTTCTTGGGAACTTCCCACACTCCGTGCTGGCTTTCTCACCCCCTCACCCTTTTGCTGGGAAGATGGATCAGAGACTGCCATATTGTTACGCATTCCTCTTTTCATATACCTTATCAGAGACTCCCTCTTACCTCGTAGAATCCGTCTGTTATCTCCCTGGTTCAAGTATTTCCCTCGAGCTAAGCCACCTCCTCTGTGCTACTTGAGGCGTTATTTCCCACACTCTGCATCAAGAAGACTAGATCGAGGCTAAAAAACTTGTGTAATTCTCATGGTCAAGCCTTTGTTAGATGAAGAACGTCCATGGTAA